ATATGTTGAAATATGTCAGATGTATGGAGTTATATGAATAAGCTAGATTAATTTCAGCTATATCTTTTGTTAATGTGATTAGTAGAAAATTTAAAATGATGTGGCTTGTGTTGCATTTCTGTTGGGTAGTACTGCTCTAGGAAGTGGAATAGTTATGAGTACTCCATCTGTCTTATGAAAATTGGCAGTGATGGTGGCAAGGCAGCAAATGTAGATAGGCTAAGGATTTCATTTCACAATGAAAAACATCAGAAAGGGATATCTCATGGGTGGGTCCCTTCCCATCAGGTACCTTGAGTTTACCTCCTTCTAGTTTGTTCACCAGAGAGTATAAAAAACGATCTTAAGTACTATATTGTACTGCATTTTATCTAGTATATATTTTTTAAAGTTTTTTTTGGGGGGGTAGGTAATTAGGTTTATTTATTTGTTTTTTTTAGAGGAGGTACTGGGGATTGAACCCAGGCCCTCGTGTATGCTAAGCATGTGCTCTACTGCTGAGTATAGCCTCCCCCCTTATCTAGTTTATCTTTAACCAGTACACCTCTGGAAGCAAGTATTTCTTAGAGGAACATTGATTATATAACCACTTCAGTGTTTCTTTTCTCTTCTTGTTTTGTTTTTTCTTTCTTTTAACATTAAGCATTTATGAGCTGTGCTAATTGGATAAAGTCATTCTTTTCCCATCCACAAAATAAGGCAAATAAAGCCTGGTACACAGATAGATTTTAATAAATGAGGTAAGTGAATGTGCACTGTAAATGCCATTCTGTTTTTAACTGAGAGGGCACTGAGTTAGACATTGTAGGAGAAAGATGACTAAGAGCTCATCTGTCTCAAGAGTGAGGGTGACAAATATGTGTTATATCAATTGGGCTTCAAGGCAAGGTGACTCAGACACTCGAGTGAGGTGCTACATTTAAGCTATGTGAGTGAAGTGGAAAGAGTGAGTCCCCCTGGGCGGTCACATTTGAGCAGAGCCTCAACAGACAAGAGCACAGGGGTGGGGGTGCAGGGTGGGCAGACAGGCTTCTTAGACTTTGAATTGAAGGAAACTTATGAATGGAGGTAGACAAGTTCACGATATGTATTTGAAGTTCCTTTTGGGTTTAAATATTTATGGCTTTTAATACATTACAGTTGGCTCCTGTTGCCCCACTGGACCTCAGTGGAGCATCTACCAGCCTGGGAGTTCCTTGTGTATAGGACTGGTCATACTCATCTTTGTACACCCAGTGCGCAGCACGGAGCCTGGCAAAAAGCCTGTGTCTGATAGATAATTGTGAGTAGATGAGTGAACATGAACTTGCAGCATTTAGAACGTGGTGTTTCACTTTCTAATTTTTCATTCCAACATGCAGTGTCTGTGAGTACTGGGGTGTCTAGACCTTTCTTTCGCATACTTACAATGATAGGTGTGCACTGAGATCATTTGGGTGATAGGTTTTTTTTTAAATTTTGACAGTATTTTATTTTCTTTAGCTACTACAATGTTTCAGTCAGTTGTATGTTGGAGGATACTGCACCTTATTTTTTTTTAAACATTTTTTATTGATTTATAATCATTTTACAATGTTGTGTCAAATTCCAGTGTAGAACACAATTTTTCAGTTATACATGAACATATATATATTCATTGTCACATTTTTTTCTCTGTGAGCTACCGTAAGAGCTTGTGTATATTTCCCTGTGCTATACAGTATAATCTTGTTTATCTAGTCTACAGTTTTGAAATCCCGTCTATCCCTTCCCACCCTCCGCCCCCTCGGCAACCACAAGTTCGTATTCTGTGTCTATGAGTCTATTTCTGTTTTGTATTTATGCTTTGTTTTTCTGTTTTTTTTTTTTTTTTTTTAGAGTCCACATATCAGCGATCTCGTATGGTATTTTTCTCTCTCTTTCTGGCTTACTTCGCTTAGAATGACATTCTCCAGGAGCATCCATGTTGCTGCAAATGGCGTTATGTTGTCGGTTTTTATGGCTGAGTAGTATAGGTTTTTATTCTCCCCTGAGGAGCTGATCTGAAGTCTTGGAGGTTCAGTTACCTGCTGCTACAGAGGGCTCTTACTCCCCTCCCAGTGACTGTTACATTTCTGCTGGTTTTCAACACAACCTCTGTGGAGCTCCATTCCGTGGGGAAGAGAGCTGGCTCCACTCCTTCCAGGAGAAAAACGCCCAATGCCTTCCCTGCCAACTTTCGGTTGCCTGGGCTAAAATGTTATTCTGCAGGGAGGAAGCACAATGGGAAAGGTTATACCTACAGGAAATCTCATATTTGCTCTGCAGGGAAGCATGTGAAAAAATTGAAAGAAAGGAAGCAGCTTAGTAACTAGAGGTTTACTTTGTGTGGGATTTTCCTTTTTGGGTATTTTCCCCCTACCCTGTTTCATCATCATTATGTTTTAATGTTTTATTTCCTGTCTACTTGGTTAAGTTGCTTTTATATTAGTGGTGGTTGAGATCTACTATGAACACCAGTAACAGATTCACTGAAAAAAAAAAGAGCAAGGGGAAAATACTTTCCATCATTTTGAGAAAAAAAAGACTGGAAAGCTGTTTTCTATGCATCCTCCCTCTCCCCTAAGCAATCACTAGTAATGATTTTTGTAAGTGGACTAATTATACCGCTGACTTCACAAATGGAATAAGAAATAGGAACCATGCTTGGCTTAAATGACAACCTCCCCCACCAACCCCTCTGGGAATAATAACATTTTAACACCAGAGAATATTTGCTAAAACTTAACAACTATAAAGCTAAATGTATTCCGTCCTCCACGGAACACAAAGGGTTGAATTAAAGGCCCACCAGTTAGCACAGCTCACCGCAGACCTGGATGAAAAAGGAAAGGGCGTGGATTCTGTGTCCCCTTCCTTGCCCTCATCACTCGCTCCTTTCATGCGACTCTGGGATCTGGTCGGGGCTTTGCTGACCCTGCTGGACCTCTAACTATAGAACACGGGGAGCTGTCCCAGTTCAGACATATTTTAATAGGGCTTAAAAAGTCACATAACAAACAGTGATCGCACAGTTTCTGAGCTTCCTGAGGCTCATGGATGTGTTAAGGCTCAGGGTTCCAGGGGAACTGGGACTGGCCTGACTCTCAGGGATGCAGCGAGAGGGTTGGAAGTGAGGGCTGAAGCCAAGCTCAGGAATGGAGGAAGGGCTCACCATCTCTGTGGCAAACATTGATTGGAAACAGAAGTTAAAAATGTTCATTTAGCATTGTGGTATAAAACAGCCGTATTAAATGTCTTTTATTGGGTGTGTAGAAGGTACTCAATAAATATTTTTTGGACTTAATCTTTAAACCAATGGCATGTTCTTAACGATCCTTCTCTTTTTCCATTGTGTACTTGGGCCCCACAAATTGCCCAAATGATGGTGGGCAAACCTAAGAGTAGGATTGCAGGTCTTAGTAAAATGAATCATGTTTTTGAAGGACCATAGACTTGGTAAATGTAAGCAGTCCCTTTAAAATCTCCACACACCTTTCCACCATTCCGGTTTCTCATTCTGCTTCTACTGTCATGTGAATCTGACCAAGTTACATTAACCTCTCCAGACCTCAGTTCCTCCTTGCTCAGAACTAAGGGACTGAACTAGGTCCATTTTAGACATGTTTTAGACATTTTTGTTTTACCCTCTCATTAATAAATTATTTTTCTCCAGCACAAAAATGCACTTTCCTCATTTAAAAAACTTAAGAGTTTTCAGAAGTAGTCTGCCTGTATTTTCACTGTGGTGTACACATCATGACTTTACCTCTGGGAACACAACCCTTGAAGCCAGCACTGTAAATGGCAGGTAACATAGGAGTGTAAACCACTTTGAAGTTGGTGAGACCTGAACTTGAATCTTGGCTTTGACAAGTACTGTCTTAGTGACCTTAGGCAGGTTACTATCACTAAGTCTCAATTTCCTTATCGGTAATATGCAGAAAGTGTATTTATAAAGTTATTGTGAACATTGAATATGATAATGGAGGTACTTTGCTCAGCACAGAGCCTGGCCTGTTGCAAACACTTCATTCATATTACCTAATGTTGGTGCTGTAACCTCTTACATCGTAAATTGAGGACTGTTTCACTTGGTCAAGTATTTGTTAGATAAACTGATGATCAGAGTGTTTTCCTGATGGAAACTCACCTAAAATATTTCTTTCTCCTTGCAGATCTTATATTGCACTTTAAACACACCTAAAGTTGACATGGATAAACTCTTAGGAACACAAATAGGCCTTGAAGATTTCATATTTGCCCATGTGAAAGGGATCAAAAAAGAAGTGAATGTGTTTAAGTCTGAAGATTCACTTGGTATCACCATTACAGATAATGGTGCCGGCTACGCTTTTATAAAGGTAAGTCCTAAAAAATAACTATGTGACTTAACTGAGGGTAACATTTAAGAAAATCTAGCAGGTCAAAGAAAGTTTGAAATGATCTTCAGAGAGCTAACTCAGCAGGGATGGATGGATTGATAATGTTCCAGTTGTAAAAAAGTTTCAAAGACATTATTCTTTTGTTTACCCTTTCCTTGAATGTTTTCCCTTCAGTTTAAACTTCCTCTAGAATTTAGCGTTTATTGAAAAGGAAAGCCTGGCCCTGGTGACTGCTCATCCTCACGGGCTCTTGTAGGTCTGTAGTTCATCAGTGTCTGGTAACTTCCATGCTGATTTCCATTGATTTAGTGTTATTTCCAAGTGCACATAATTTTGGCCACCTTATTTACTTCTTTAAAACAAAGTGCTCTTCAAAAATTTCTAAAATATATATGGTTGATCTTTGAACAACATGAGTTTGAACTGTGTGGGTTCACTTGCATGTGGATCTTTTTCAATAGTAAATGGTACAGTATGACATAATCCGTGGTTGGTTGAATCTGCGGATGTGGAACTGTAGATATGGGGAACCGATTATAGGGTGGGATTTTTTTTTCATTTTTAAGGACATTGCCTTTTTATTATGGGATCTTAATTAGTATTAAATTTAAAACAATTTTTAAAAATTGAAGTATAGTCATTTACAATGTGTCAGTTTCTGGTGTACAGCATAATGTCCCAGTCATGCATATATATACATATATTCGTTTTCATATTCTTTTCCATTAAAGGTTACTGTAAGATGTTGAACATAGTTCCCTGTGCTATACAGAAGAAACTTTTTAAAAATCTATTTTTGTATATAGTGGCTAACATTTGTAAATCTCAAACTCTCAAATTTATCCCTTCCCACCCCCTTTCCCCGGTGACCATAAGATTGTTTACTATGTCTGCGAGTCTGTTCTGTTTTGTAGATAAGTTCATAGTGTCCTTTTTTTTTTTACATTCCACATATGAGTGATATCATATGGTATATTTCTTTCTCTTTCTGGCTTACTTCGCTTAGAATGACAATCTCTAGGTCCACCCATGTTGCTGCAAATGGCATTATTTTATTCTTTTTTATGGCTGAGTAGTATTCCATTGTATAAATATACCACAACTTCTTTATCCAGTCATCTGTCAATGGACATTTAGGTTACTTCCATGTCTTGGCTATTGTAAATAGTGCTGCTATGAACATTGGGGTGCATGTATGTTTTTGAATTAAGAGTTCCCTCCAGGTATATACCCAGAACTTGGATTGCTGGATCATATGGTAGGTCTGTTTTTAGTTTTTTGAGGAATCTCCATACTGTTTTTCATAATGGCTGCACCAAACTACATGTAAGGTGGAATTTTTTTAAGGAGGATTTTCCACTATGTGGAGGGTCAGCACTCCTAACTGCTGCATTGTTCAAGGGCCAACTGTAGTTCTTTTATCTGAATACAAAGAGCAATATAGAGCTGCAAAGACAAGAGAAGGAAGTTTGAAATGGTATGAAAAACTTTAAGAACTGAGGAGTGGTAAAAAGGTTCATCTCAAATATCAATTCTATTACTGTAATAAATAGTTGCAATACACTGACTTATTGAATGCTGATCATGTACTATGCCCTTTGCATATACACTTCCTCGTTTAATGCTCACAACAGTTGTAGTTGGTACCATGCTTTCTTCTTATTTACTTTTTTGTTGAGGTGTAACAGATCTTTAATGTATGGCTGGAATATTTACAGATCTGTGTAAATGCCACGCAGGTCAAGGGAAATTTCATTTCCACCATCCAGAATGCTCCTTTGTGCCCCTTCTCAGTCAATACCTCTCCCCCACAAGGGTAACCACTATTTTGACCTTTATCACTATGGTTTTGCCTGTTCTCGAATTTCATATCAATGGAGTTAATTTATTATGACCTCTGCTGTTTCTGGCTTTTGTTCAGCATGTCTGGGAGGTTCATCTCTGGGTGGGAACTATTATCAACCTTTCCTTTTACAGATGTAGAAACAGCATTAGGAACGTTAAGCGGCTTGTCCAATGTTAGGCAGCTGGACAAATTCAGGATTTGAATCCAAGAGGTCTGACTCCAGAGCTGGCAATACTACCCCCTGAGCGAAGAATTAGCAATAAACTTCATGCAACAGAGCACATTTCATGCTTTATTTTGTCCAAATCCTTGATTTGCTGATGCATTGTCATCATTAAAAAAAATAGCCTTAGGGCAGTTATCTTCTTAACTGTAAGTAGTGCTTTAACTTCCCACTTGATAGAATGGCTATTTTTAGCTCTGCAAAAGATATGACTGTGCTGAAGGTTGAGTGGGTGACCAAATGGAAAATCTGCCAGTTGAGAGAGTCATGTGGGATTATCCAGGGGAAGCTCAGGACATGAGGCCCGTGTAGCAATGCCTTTCTAATGTCAGCAGGGAAGGGCTTGGAAGTTTTGCAAACACGCATGGCTTTTTGAGATCTTAGCCTCTGATGTTCAGAGCTTGTGATTCTATTTTTTTATGCCCCGTCAAACATGTGCCTGCTTCAGAGTACGAGTCACTGGCCCTGTGGAGACAGAGAACATGGTGGCAAAGAGGAAGAGGAGCCTAAGCCAAACCTCTGATAAGAGTTCAACTTTGAAGAGGAATGACTTATCATACTGTGTACATGGTTGATATGATTTTTTTAAAAATTGAGAGAGGAATAAATTTCAAACTTATTGACAGATTGTAATAACACAAAGAACTCACATAGTACCCCTTACTCAAAAAAATCCAGTTTTTACCATTTGCTACATTGGCTTTATTCTCTTACTGACATATACATACGTGTAATTTCCCCTGAGCGACTGGAAAAGGGATTGCATATATTATGTCTCTTTATCCCTTAACACTTCAGAATGTAGTTTTTAAGAACAAAGATATTCTCTGAAGTACACCCACAGTACAGCTATGAAACTCAGGAACCCTAACAGTGATAGAATACTTTCAAACTAATCTAATGTCCATGTGGCAGTTTTATGAGTTGTCCTTATAGTTTTTCCTGATATAAGTCCAGTCCAGTATTATTATTTAGTTATCAAGTCTTTTTAGTTGTCTTTTTTCTGGAACAGTTCCTCAGTCTTTTAGAGGATATCCCTCATTTTTGGCTTTTTTGATGTCTCTTCCTGTTGAGAAACAGGCCATACATTTTTTTTTTCAGGTTGTACATTTTTGGCAAGAAAACTAGATAAGCGATGTTATGTGCTTCTTATCTCAGAAAGTGTGGTATCTTGGTTTGTCTCATTATTCGTGACGTTAATTTTGGTCGCTTGGGTAAGGTAGTGTCTGCCAGTCTTAACTCACTGCAACGTTTGTATATTTTCCTTTGTAATTAGTAATTTGTGGGAAGATACTTTGAAATTATGTAAATATCCTGTTCTCTTACTTGCACCCCACAAATTCAGCATCTATTGAGGAGTCTTGCCTGTGACTCAGTTTTTACTATAATGGTTGCAAAATGGTGGTATTTCTAATTCCATCATTTCCCATGTATTTTTAAAAGACATTCCATTGTAATAAAACACTCTGCCTATATATTATCTATTATCAACATGAACACATGATTTCTTATTCAGCAGGCCCATTACCATTATTTGTTTTGATGCTCAGATTTCCTGAGATTCGGCGGGCAGGAGTCCCTTTCAGCTGGCTCCTGTATTTCTTTGACCTGACTCCTATTACTTTATTGAGCAATTCCTTCCTTTCTGGCATGTTCTAAGTTCATCTTTCATCTTTTTGTTCCCAGGCTTGGAATCAGCCATTTCTTCGAGGAGCTCTGGTTTTTTTCAGTGAGGATGTGTAATTTCAAAATCGATACCTGAATGCTAGTTGCACACGTTCATTGCTACCAGAGTGTCACTGCTTCTAGGTGCTTTCAATTACCGCTGAAAGTGTTAGAAAACACGTATTTTATTTTTAAAATTAAAAAAATTGTTTTTTTATTGAAGTGTAGTTGATTTACAATGTTAGTTTCAGGTGTACAGCAAAGCGATTCAGTTATATACACATATACCTACATATATATCTTTTCCAGATTCTTTTTCATTATATGTTATTGCAAGAAATTGAATATAGTTCCCTATGCTATATAGTAGGTGTTTGTTGTTTATCTGTTTTATACATAGTAATGCATATTTGTTAATTGCAAACTCCTAATTTATCCCTCCCCCACCTTTTCTCCTTTGGTAACCATTGTTTGTTTTCTGTGTCTGTCAGTCTACTTTTGGTTTGTAAATAAAATTTGTATCATTTTTTAAAAGATTCCACATATAAGTGGTATCATATGATATTTGTCTTTCTCTGTCTGACTTGCTTCGCTTAATAGAAAACATGTATCTTAGAAATTATGAATTCATAATTATGCCTCTAATTCTAATCCTGCCCCACAGGGTTCTTCCTTGGCTTTTCTACTAAAGTATTAACTTTCAGAATGATTGGAATATTTAATCATTTTCTTAGTTTTACAATATACATAAAATAGTTTCAGAATTGCTGTATCTATAGTTGGAGAAATAAATCTATTAAGAGTTCAAGATTTGTATGCATTTTTTTTTTTGTCTTTAAATGCATGTATACAATCCAAGCATTCTCTTCAGGAGGTACTTGGGGTAGGTTCTCACTTGCCCCTCCTCCCTCCATCCCATGATTTCTCATTTAAAATAACTATTGAATCCAGTTATTTCTCTTTGAATTGACTTTGAGTTTTACCTCTCATGTTGATTTAATTTTATTTTCTGAATACATAATAGTTTGAAAAGTCAAAACTATAATAAAAGATATATACAGAGATGCCACTCCTTCTCTGTCCCCATTACTCATTTCTCCCACTCCTTGAAGTAATCAATTTCATTAATATCTGGCTTACTATTCCAATGCTTTTTGCCAAGATAAGCATAAAAAGTGGAATGTTCCCAGAGTTTGCACGTCATCCTTGTTAGGGGGCCATGCTAATCTTCTCTGTGTGGCTCCAATTTTAGTGTATGTGCTACTGAAGCAAGTACTTGATACGCTTTTAGCAGTGGCTGGAAGTCAGTAGATTTATGGAAGAGGACAGTGTGGTGCGTGTTTAGACAAGGGTGAGGAGGAAGGAGTCCATGATTAGGAAGGCAGTGCCGTGTGGCGCATAGGACCATGGGCTTTAGAATCACACCTACTTTCAGTCTTGGTTCAGCCCCTTATTTACTTGCTGTTGACCTTGGTCAAGTCCTTAAACCTTTCTAAGCCTTCTCTCAAATGGGAATATTAGCACTTACTTTACAGAATTATTTGGGTACAAACTAATGATGTATCTGAAATGTTTGATAATACTAGTAACTGATAGCTAATACCTTCATGGTAGCAATAATAACAAATCATCACATAATTAGGAGATGAGGTCAATGGCAGGGAAATGTATTAACTAGTACTGCCTGGCCTTCACATATCAAAGACAACAGACAAACATATATGATTTTACTACCCAGGTTTTAGCATTTCCCAGGAAAAAATGTATAAATAACTAACCAGAAAATTCAGAGTATACTTATAACAAACTCCATAAATTCCTGAAATAGTTTTAAGATCAGAGTTGGTACATATTTTCTATAAAAGGCCAGATAGTAAATAGTTTAGATTTTGTTCTAATTTATGGTCATACAGTCTCTGTTGTAACTACTCAACTCAGCCTTTGTAGCACAAAAAGTTATATACGATGCTGAAATGACGAACATAGATGTCTTCTAGAAAAGCCTTATTTATGGACATTGTAATTTGAATTTATATAACTTTCACATGTCACAGATATTCTTTTTTGTCCCCAAACCATTTGAAAAGGTAAAACCATTCATAACTCACGGCTATAATGAAAACAGTGATGGGCCAGATCTGACCTATGAACCATTGTTTGCTGATCCCTAGTTTAAGAAAAGAGCATGCTTTTAGAAACAAAATAAAAATAAGGGCTTATACTATGCAATTAAGAAACAAAAACCGCAGTAACATGGGTGGACCTAGAGATGATCCTTCTAAGTGAAGTCAAGGAGAGAACGACAAATATCATGATATCACTTATGTGGAATCTAAAAAATGATACAAATGAACTTATTTACAAAAGAGAAACAGATTCACAGACATAGAAAACAAGCTTATAGTTACCAAAGGGGAAAAGGAGTGGAAAGGGATAAATTAGAGGAGTTTGGCTTTAGCAGATACAAACTATAGTATATATAAAATTGACAACAGGTCCTACTGTATAGCACAGGGATTCAATATCTTGTAATAACCTATAATGAGAAAGAATATGAAAAAGAATATGCATAACTGAATCACTATGCTGTACACCAGAAACTAATACAATATTGTAAATCAACTGTACTTCAATAAAAAAAGAAATGAAAACTGAAATTGATTTTGAATTGAAGTAACTTATAAATAACAAAACTGTCATTGCCAGAATATCTTCTTATAGAAATCTTTAATTTGGGCTACTTCAGTAGAACTAAATCACGTTTTAGCATGATCCTTCTGAGAAATATGGTACTGACATAGTTCTAACATTTTGATTAATTATCTAGAACTAATAATCAGTAAGGTTAGAAATATACAAGGTCGGAGTTGGGGCAGAGGGTTCTAGGATGGAAGTTAGGATCTCTGAGAAGAGGCGTGTAAAGCCAGAATAGAAGCAGTGATCTGAGAAAATAGGTAATGTTTGAGATTTACAGGCCATGATATACAAAAATATTTTATGTTGTCTTTGCCTTCTGCAGCATCGAGCGCCAAAGCCAGATGAGAGAAAGTTCTAAGTGTTATAGACAATAATATTAAGTGACTCAGTAAATACAGAATTAATGCCTCTGTTTTCCTAGTCCTCTGTGCCTGAGTAGCACTTTTAGCATTCTTATTAATTTCTATCAAGCTCTGGTAAGATGATTAAAGTATATTGGGTTTCAGAAACTGTTAAAGTATATTGGATTTCAGAAACTTGTCTCAATTGCTGCCTCATTCTTTATTCGATTAGGAAGCTAAGGCTGAGGTAACCCACAGAGCACATGGTCAGTGTCTCTGCTCTGCTTCTCTGTCTGCTCCACCTTCGGTGCTCTTCAGTTTTCTTGTGTTGGTCTTCCTCTCTTCACCCCAGATTCTCCCTTGCTGCCTCTGGTGATGACGCATGCTTTGACTTTTCTCTGCCCACCTGGACTCTCACCTTGCTGCCTGCCGGAAGCTGCCTTTCCTCTGTCTCACTAGACACTGTTCTGTTCGCCTCTGTGGCTGCCCATAGGTCCTGGTGACCCTAGATTTCCGTTACTCTGCCCTTTAATTTACTGGTAAGATTCATACATGTCCTTAAAGCCTTTCACTTAATTAGTTTTATATAATGCTTATTCTTATTAAAATTACAATAGTAAATCTTAAGAAACTAAAAATATGTGGAGCTGAAATTTGTATGGTGAAGGTGATCTAAAGAAAACCAGGTTCGGAAGGTATCAAGCAATACATTAGAATAAAAACTAAGAAGGATACAGATTTTCGCCTTCTCTAGTGACTTAAGAACAGTTAGATGACAGAATATTAAAGAATTTTTTTTCTTTGTTTCTTTGGACTCTAGTCTTAGTCTCACTTATGTTTCTATGACGGTTTAGAAACTCCAATTGTACTGAGTGGTGTGTTGTGGTTACCCTTGTTTGCTTCCATAGCTTATAAAGCTAATAGAGACTTCCTAAAAAACATTGTCAGTTAGATTACGACATTTCTGGGTTTTTGCTTCATCATGAACTATTTGTAATGACAAATAATCTCCATGTGAATTGACATTACTGTGTCATTTGCGTAAAGCATAATAACAGTTGTTACGATGAGCATAGCAGTGTTCTTAAAATCCTGGGGTGAAAAAACCTACTGTCAGTTTTGGTATATGGTAATTTTAAAAGTTAAAAAATCTCCAGCCTTGCCAGGTTAGTCTGCTACACATTGCTCTTCTTATGACACTATTATAGAGATGCTGGGACACAGGAGATCAGTTTTCCTCTCAACTCTTGGACACAGTGATCAGTCACCCTGCTGACTTAGACGATGTGACTTTTCGACCCAGCAAGAGTGGGAAATATACATACTTTATCACACAATAGAAATATCGTTATTTCTAGCCTGTCATTCTCACGAAGGATTTGTGACACCAGCAGCAGACTGTGGCCTGCATTTTGCCGTGTTTCTCAGTGCTGTTGAAGAATTTTTAAGTCTTTTTCTGGATGTAAACTATGCGGAGTTTTCTGGAGCTCCTGTCCCTAAAATCCTTTCAGAAATTCTTAGTACTATCTTAGGAAGTCTGACATCTCATTTTGAAGCTCTGTGCTGTAGATGTATTGTATACATGTATGATAGTTGAGAAGGACCAATTTGGAGTTTCTCCTTGGGTCCTAAGTTCTCTTCACCTAAAATATATACATGAGAAGTGATGGTACAGAAATCATTCTTATGGGCTCCCCAACTGATAGCCATACCTGTCTCTTAAGTATCAGTATTCTTAGCTAAGGTTATACCAATTCTTCAGTCTTGGATTTGTAACTAAGATTTAAAAAATGTAGCCAGTAGGAAAAACTCCAGCTTTATTCTTTAACTTTCTTTTGGTGGAGGGGAGGTAATTTGATTGATTGATTGTTTTTTTTTACAGGAGGTGCTGGACATTGAACCCAGGACCTCATGCGTGCTAAGCATGCGCTCTACCACTTGAGCTATTCCCTCCCCCATAAGCTTTATGCTTATGTAATGGGCCTCATGTTGAAATGATTCCAGTCATTTATGGTGGGACTTTTCTGTGCAGATGTGCTAGGCACACGGCACACATACAGTGGTGAATAAGGCCATCTCTGCCCCCAGGACGTTACAGTTCAGTCGTGGAGACTGAGAGGTCGGGGCACACTTGCACTGTGCTGTGCTGAACGTGGCAAAGTACTTCATCTTCCTGATCCATGGCATGAGGCTCTCCTAAAGGTTGTTCAAATGAGATAGTGAATGTAAAGTGCTTAGCTTAGAGCTCAGCATATGTAGCAGAACGTACGAGAAGCACGAGAGTGGCGCCTTACCTGGGCCTGGGGGAGTGGGCTGGGAGGTGTCAGGAAAAGCTGCTCAGAGGAGGTGTTGACCGTGACAGAGCCGAATGATGAATGAGAAGAAAGGAGCAGAGTGGTTGGATGGCTGTCTTTTGTTGCTCGGTCTTCTGTCTCTAACTGAACATTAAACTGCCTTGTTGCTGTGTCAGTATCTTGTACACAACATCTCAAGAGCCTGAAAAGTAATACTGCACGGTTCTACTTTATATAAAGTGTTGTCCCTAATTTTCTTTCAGAGAATTAAAGATGGCAGCATAATTGACTCAGTGAAAACAGTCTGTGTCGGGGATCACATTGAATCCATCAACGGAGAAAACATCGTTGGGTGGCGCCACTTTGATGTTGCGAAGAAGTTAAAGGAACTGAAAAAAGAGGAACTCTTTACCATGAAGTTAATAGAACCCAAGAAAGCCTTTGGTAAGTTGGTTCGCTGAACTGTGCCCCTGGCTTATCTTTCTAAGGGAGGTGACTACTGTGATGTGGTGCCGTGTGCTCTCGTGGATCAGTTAAGAGCAAGAGCAGCGATAGATGGCACTGCTTATAAGGAAGACAACCATTGAAGGAGGGGAAAAAAATTTGCCTGGAAAGACATTTTCTTAAAAAGACATTTGGAGTTATAAAGTCTAATGTCTAGTGACTCGGAATGTGTTCCAGAGTCTAAGAACAGCACATTGTACTGCGTTTATCTTGCTGAGCAGTGACATTTTTGATTAAGCTCTCTTAACGGTGATAACCCTCGTTCACGGGCCTCATCAGCAAAACCTTTGGTTACACATGGAATTGGCATTTAAAATAGTTATCTAGTCTATTTTAAAGACTTCCTTCAATGCTTTTCCTCCATTGGCATTTTGAATTTGGCAGTGTGGAACGGTATGACGTTACTTCTTTGGTGTGACATCTGTACTTGTTTGGTTTTAGCCATGGCAGCTGTGTTCCAACTGTTGTTCAAACCCCCAGGGCCACCTCATCTACAGGAAAATGTGCCAGCTTCTCTCTCACTACCCAGCACTATTTTAATAAGCCAAACGATGGCTTAGTGTTCATCGGTGTTAAAATATCTACAGCAGAATCATTCTAGGCTGCCCTTCCACATCCATGACTCCACCCACCTTATGTTCTTTCCTTTGCTCACTAAACATAAATATTCCTTATAGTTTGTCTGTAATGGCAGTTAACGACAGTGACGGGAGAATGCAGTGGGTCTGGGGAATTACTTTTCCCCTCCCTTAGCAAGTAAGGGGGAGATCCTAGCCATACGGAAATGAAAAGTTTTCTCTGCTTCCAAGTAATTCTATGCCATTTAATAGAAATACAGTGTAGGTGGTATTGCTTATGGGAGACAGGGTTTTAAGAAGATGTAAGAAAAGGATGTCTTATACTGGTGCTGCTCCTGGAGGGACCATTCTAGGAACCGCTGCTACAGACACTGTGATTCTGCACGGTGCATTGCGGCATCTGAGCTCTCCCACACAGGAAGGTGGGCCAGCTCTCAGATTTCTATCCAGCAGCTCCTTTTTCCAAAAAATTTTGGTTTCCAGAGGGTAAGGAGGGTGGGAAGGGATAAATTGGGACTTTGAAATTTACACCTCTTGGGGAGTGATGGAAATGTTAGCTATCTTGATAGTGGTGGTGGTTTCATTGGTGTATTCATCAAATTATACATCTGAAATACATGTAGTTTACAGGAATCATACCACAATAAAGGTGTTAAAAAATAAATAAAATTTAAAAATGTACTTTTAATGAATTTAATTAATTAATTTCTTAACCAGTCTTTTTTGGGGGGGAAGGAAGTAATTATATTTTTATTTAGTTTGTTTATTTTAACGGAGGGACTGGGGGCTGAACCCAGGACCTCACGCATGCTAAGGACAGGCTCCACCACTGAGCTGTACCCTCCCCCTAAGCAGTTCCTTTTGAAACGGCTTTGTTTGGTAACCAACTTCCTGGGTATCATAGCATATAAATTAATAGGACGTAGACAGTTCGAGATAAATATTATTTGATTTAGGCTCTTTGTAAATCAGAGTTATTCTTAGTACAACTCAAGGAAAATAATTTCTTTCTACACTTGTCCCCACCATATAATCTGTTTTCCAAAGTTAATCTCTCTCTATTTTCCCTCGTCTGCATATACATCGTGTGGTCCCTGTGTTTCTGTAGAATGTTGCTGATACACCTTAACATGGATGTTAGGTTGGTGATAGAATTGGATGTTACAGAGGTCATTGTACTTAGCTATTATTGCATGATTAAATGTTTTCCTTCAGCATTTGAGACATACGTGTTGACGTTTGGTGTACTTCTCTGCCTTATGTGCCTGTGACTCCTGAAGCCGCTGTCTGTTACCACATCTGAATTCCGTGGGTAGAATTGAGATGGACGATGAGTAGGATTTTCCTAATAGGCGTATGTTATTTCAGCATCTCACATTCTGGTGGTGCTGTGGGTCCGGATACCTGAAGATTGATTTTGGAGCAGTGACAAGTTTTTATTTTCCAAGGTTTCAATGGCAGCTTAACTCAACTTAACCCAGATTAAATCTGCTGGTCCATATGCATTTTCCACCCTGTAGGTTGATCTTTGCCTCTGGCCCTGCTTATTTTTTTGCCTGAAGGATAAAGACATTGCTATCCTGTGGCCTCATTCCAGCACTTAGCTCTTTGCCAGGGAGGGAGTGTAGGTACATCAGGAGATACTTGGGGGACCAGGCTTGGCCCCTTTATCTCCATCTCAATCTTACCTTTTGCTGTGTTTCCTTCCTTCTTGTTTTTCTAGCATTTTCACTGGTGCCTTAATTCAAATTTAAAGTCCTTCATGATTATCTGACTCTGTCGTCTTGGCATCCTACCAGGAGGAAGGGCCATTCTGCGTGAGGCAGAGCTTTCTCCTTGTATTCAGATAGGCCATCTTGGCTGAAGCTGAGTTATTTCTGGGATTGTACCAAAAGCTGTGAGAAATGGCTACACACTCTAGGATTTTGACATTGTCCTACCAACTTCCCTAAGTATTTAACCTGGGGAGGCGTGTAGACAGTGTCCCCAGATACCGGAGGGAGTGGTGTTGTTGGCGGCTTTGCACCAGCGTTGACAAGGGTGATGAGCGTGGCTCCCCAGCCATCGATGATGGAATCCTTACTGCCTGCTCTGTTCCCACATTGTGGGTCACTACCCACATCCCACTTCGAGGGGCCACTGTACGTGCCAAGATTCTTTGAGAGCTACAGAATAAGCACTGTCTAATTTAAGGAAAAGGCATTTCTTGGGAAGGACTATCAGGTAGGTCTCAGAAACAAAGACAATTCAGTCAAGCCTTGTACCAATAGGAAGCAAAGCTGTTTCAGGGATGTGTGAACCAGGAACCCTTCATGGTACTGGTTTAATTGACTTTCTCCAATTATTTCCTATCTTCATGTTACTCCATGTAGAATTCAAATTCCTGGGATGGGGTGGCGGACTGATTAGGTCATGTCCTTCTTGGTCGTGGGAAGGCAGGCTACACGATAGGCCAACCAAAATCACACAGAACCATGACGTGGGGGAAGATTCCTTTTGGGTAGGAGAAGGCAGATATCCATTTTACCATTTCTCTAAGGTGTTATACCTTGTTCTTTAGGCAGAGAAGTGTTAGTTTTCTCTTGACTTTGAACCTGACTCTAGTCATGCATGATGCGTTCAGGCTGGGTGTATCAGAATGAATGTGGAGGGAGGAGGGTATTGTCAACTAGCTTTGGGTGTCTAGTCTTTTTATTTTTTTTTCTGCTAGGTGTCAGATGCTGTTATGGACTGAAGTATGCCCCCTAAAATTCATATGTTGAAGTCGACTCATCTCTAGTCCCTCAGAATGGGACTATATTTCGAGATAGAATCTTTAAAGAGGTAGTTAAGTTAAAATGAGGTCATTAGGGTGGCTCCCTGGTCCAATATGACTGATGTATTTATAAGAGGAAATTTGGACAATGGAGCCATAGGGAGGGAGAGTGCCATGTGAACATGAAGACAGCCACCTGCAAGCCAAGGAGAGAGGGCTCAGAGGAAAGTAACCCTGGTGACAGCTTGATAATGGACTTCCAGCCTCCGTAATTAAGGTAGTAAGTTTTTGTGTTTAAGCCAGTTGGTCCTTTGTTACAGCAGCCCTAGAAAACGAATACAGACACCAGTAAGTATGTGTACACACACAGACACAGACACACACACACACACACACACACACACACACATATGTGTGTATATACAGGGCAAGTTCTTTGACTTTGACAGTAGATCTTGGACTTCCTAACATTGTAGAAGGTACAGGTTGGGTATATTAGCAGTCCTTTGGCCTTGGGCAGGTGGCAGGCAAGAACATACTCATGTATTTTCAGTCAGCAAATATTTGAATAATTAGTATTTGCTGGTCCTAGGGTGCTAGTTGCTGGAATAATAGTCACCGTTTATTGAGAACCTGCTGTGTTCCTACATCATACTACACGCTTGGAATACCCACGAATAAGATCCAGTTCTTGTCTGCAAGAAACTCATGTCTTGGAGGAAGAGATGGATATGAAAAATTTTAAATGAAGAATATTAGAGATGATAGAATGTACTGGAGGTTTAACAGTAGGATCCATCAAGCCAACCAAGGAGTTGGGGTAAAGCTTCCTGGACAGGGAATTTGAGCTGAATCTTCCAAGAGACTTGCTCAATAAACAAATCAGGGAAGGCCGTCCTAGGGAGTGTGAACAGATTAAGCAAAGATGCAGAAATATGGAACAGTATCACATAGCTGGGAAGATGCTGTATGTCTGTGTGGTTGGAATATAGGTGGTGGTGTGGCAAGAGGTGAAGCTCAAGTGAGTGGGGACCAAGTGATCACGGGCCTTGTGTATGAAGGCAGAGAGTGGGCAGTGGAGAGCCACTTGAGGGGTTTAGGCAGGGGAGAAACATAATGAGGCTTGAATTTTAGAAAGGCATTTTGGCGACTGTGTCAGAGGGAGGGGTGGGCTGCGACTTAGATGTAAGGAAAGACTCTATTGTGCTAGTTGAGGGGAGAGAAGGTGAAATCCTGAATTCAGGCAGTGCCTGTAGGCATGGATAATTGGTTCTGGGGACTAGACGGTGGTGTGCTGGAGACATTTGTGCCCATCTCTTTACAATTCCACGTCCAGTGGCATCAAGTCGGTTGCTTGAAATTGGCTGAGGTGAGGTATTTACATCATGGAAATAGGCAAGTGCTTCAAGTCAGGGCTTTTTTTGTGGGCTGAGTGTGGTGCCATTCTCTGAGAGGAGGAAGAATGGAAAAGAAAGAGGTTCGGGGGAGGAGACAGGGAAGAGAGGTTGTACTTATGGTGCAATTTTGGGCCTTAAGAGTTTGAAATCTGTAGGACAATTCAGTTGGAGATATGTAAGAGGTAGGTGGGTATTTAGAATTCGGGCCCA